GTCTCGGATCTCGTGTGTGTGTTGTTGGTGTTTTGTTTTGTTCTCGTTTGTTTTAGGGAACAACAAACAGCACTGTAGTTGATCGTGAATTGACGCCATGGTCTCTTTGATCAGTCGATGGATTCTGAGCTTGGTGATGTTGACTGGTTAAGGATGGATGGGAGCTGTGCCCATGGAGACATCTATGGAGTATTGCTGACATCAGCGCTGACGATGGTCGTGGATATGGATGGACTGTTTATTTTGATGAGCGAAGTGTTGGAGGAACAACCGTCTATTTCTTTGAGAATCAGGTGATTTCTCAAAGACAGTTATATTTTTTGGAAACTTCGAGTGTTTCAGAGGAGTTTAGACTTCATTTTCCGGTCAGGTGATTGGAATATCGAAGCCTCTTGGCAAATACGATGTATTCCACACATTTGACTTTGACAATATGGCGAAGTTCATACTGGATGTGAATTTGAGTGGGTATAGAGAGAGAAATGAATGTCATGTCGAAAGGGGGTGTGGAAGTTTGAACCCTTGTGGGTGCAACTTGGCATTGGTGCGACCTGACTTTCATTGAGCCTTCAGTGGTGAAACTGGACTATGGGAAGGTGTCTGCATCAGACATAAGTAGTTTCAATATTGCTTTGTGGTATGAGAAGCTGCATGAGCTGATCTGAGATATCGACCAGTGAGTCTAAGTGAATCTACTTGGAGCTTGATTCTCCTTTGAATGCAGTTTGAAGCGTTATTTTGCTTTATGACAGTGGACGAATGCTTTCAGAAGCATTCGCTAGACAGATGAGTCGGGATGATGCGGTTTCATCGATCTCAGAGATTCCTTGACTCCTTGTGGGAGTGTGGATCTGACGGAGATGGTATTGGAATATCCGTTTCGATTCTTGACGTTGCTTTAAACATCTGAGATGTTGGTGAAGTCCTTTGACTACCTCTTGCGAGTATGTGAGATACTTCGGCATTGTGAGGACAATGCCTACGTATAGTATTCGACATCTAGGTATTTGATCTGGAAGTCTGATACTTCGGCATTGAGAAGACAATGCCTACGTATAGTAGTCAACCTCTGGGTATTTGATCTGGAAGTCTGCTTTGTGACCTTTGTCTTTGTGACTTATTGCTGACGTTTGGTTATTGTGGTGAGCGAACTACTTTAGCGCTATGACTGCTGATGACTGGATATTAGCTGAGAAGTCGAGCAGAACATTCTGTTCTCCACGGTAGTTTGGAGCTATGAGAAGATGTCTCTGTGCGAAGAACTGTTTTGGAGATGGAACAGGAGGTTCCATGTTGTTCTGTATTGCAAGAGGATTTTGTAAAGGAATTTGAATGAATCATTTCGTTCTTGAATAGCCGTGTAACTAGTCTAGACGTTTGGTAGAGACTAGTAACACCGGCTAGCTGGTTATTTGCGTTTGGACGAGAACCAGTTTGACTTGAGAACTTTTGGAAATGTTTCTGACTTTTTTGTGACTAGGTGATTTGTATATCATAGCAGTTTGGAATTGTTTCAACAACCTTTGAAGGAAGGTTGTGTATTGGAAACCTGGAATCGAGTTTTCCAGTTGAGACATCGGCTCAAGGGAGTGGTGTCAAATGTTCCGAAGAGAACTGAACTGCAGTGTCACCTAGGGCACTTGAAACAGTAGCCACACTGGAACATCTTGCTTCCTTTCTTTGTTTGTGGGCTGTGGCCGTGTGCCTGCCCTGGTTCTTGTTGACCTGTTCCGTTGTGTGTGGCGTCTGGAGAGAAAAGAAGGAGTCTGACGCGCACTTAGGAGTCGGGGTGGAACAAGTTCCTTTATCTGACATTGCAGAGAAGTAAGTAATTGCGGAGCCGCAACCACAGTAGGTGTTTGCGTCTGGCGTAGTGTTTTCCATGAAAGCGTCGATTTGGGTACACGAGAGGTGTACTTGGGTTTACGTTTTTCACACTTGGATCCACCATAAGTTGTTGTTGCAAGCTCTGGCAAGGGTTAAGGCCACGACACTTGGCTTCGTCCAGACAAATTGAAGCAAATCGCTGGCACAAAATTGTGGGGTGAGCGGCTTCTTCGGCCGTCGGAAAAAATAGTTTGCCGTTGACCCAAGGCGGTTTCCATGAATCATGTTGATGCTGTCCATCGCAAAGAATCCCAGGCTTTCCAGAATATTTGTGTCTTGCTTCCTCGGGTTATACGACCAAAATTTTGACTTCTTGTCCCTGGTCCCTCTATGCATGCAATGCTGCAGAACTGTAAAAGGCCAGGGTACTTGTCAAACAGCTTCAACATGAAACTTGCAAGCCAAAAAAGGCTGTTGAGTGGGTTTTCGACTGTCACCGCAACGCCTAACCCAATGAGAAACAAAATGAGCTCGACCATGGCTGAGTAGGATGCATTCGCTTCCAGAACCCTTTGGTGTTCGAGAAAGAACCGATGTTTTGACCCTGCAGCTTCTCGAATAATCCATCATGCATTTCTTCACATCGTTTTTGAAAAGCCTTGTCAGAGTTGATTGAGAGCCGATCTCGAGCTTCACTCACAAGCTCCATTCGTTGACGTTCCATGACCTCAGAGTGACGTACATTTGCCTCACTCTGCAATGCCTGCTGCTGAGCAGCCATAAGCCTTGGTTGGAGCCACGGGACACGCAAACATTCACAACTAATTACCTCTACTGAGGAGTTGCAAATTGCTCAAACGGGTCATCTGCCGCCATGATGACAGTCGACCAAAAAGTGGAGTAATCATGTTGCACTCACAAATTACGGATGACAGAAATCCTTAACAAAGTTTGAAAATTGTTTGTGTTTTGCCGTCATGATTGGCTCGAAGGTATGTGATGCATGTTACCACCGATTGAACAAAGAAACGAGAGGCAGCTTGATTCCTCACTTTTCCCGCAATCTGGAGGTGAGCGGTGTGTTCGAAGCCCGCCAGCAGTGGCTGCAGCAAGGTGCATCCCACCTGAGAGACGCCGGTGGTTTATAAAGGCTTCCATTGGCCATTTCGACCTTTCGGCCGCAAAGCAGGTATCGCTTGTGATCCTCTTGGATCAGATGAAGCATCCTGGACTTGGGATGCTGCCTCAATTCAGTCCCAGCCGGCGCTTTGGGCGCACTCACTATACGGGCTGCATGTCTTCTGAGCTCAAGGAGGTGTCGCTGCTCTGATCCAAGGTCCTCGCCTGCTTCCTCATCCAAATCTTGCTGCTGCCGATCGACTGGCTCCCAAGGCTCATCGTCCTCTTCGACTGAAAGGACTTCAACTTTGACATCTGCCATCATCATTCCCGATCTGGTTGCGTTCGGGTTGAAGGATCCTTGTCGTGTGCTCCAGCATGTTGTTCAGCACTCTCAAGGGACTTGCAAGTGAATCCCTGGAATAGGTCAGCACTGACTTCATGCGGCCTGTGTGGCCACCCAAGATTTCCCTGTCAGGTATTGAAGCACCAAACTTCGCCAGGAAACTGAGCAAAGTATAGCAAAGTAGCCTTGCATGAGTGGCTCGAAATCCTGCAATCCTCTGGCAAACCTCCATTCCTGTCCAGGATCATTTTGACCCACTTGCTGAACTCTCCTGTGCTGAGTGGTCGAACTGTTGCTGTTCCTTCGCCATCCGGTGCTGGCATCAAAGGTGCACCCGACCCAAATTGATCACCCAACTGTTGTCTGAGCTCCCACCAAGTTCTGACGCAGTTGCCCTGCACCACTCTGCAAGCACAGACAGCGAAGCATATCTTCAAGGATTTTGGTGAAGCCATCTGGCCGCTTCTAAGAAGCAAGTGCGAGCATCGGCACAACAAAATGTTGTCAAGGCGCGATGTCAGTGTGCCACCATTCTAAGGTTCCTTGTGCGTGATTTGTAATAGATGTGCCAAATGATTTAGTTTTTTTTAAAGCCTCGTAAACAATGCTTTTAAAGCTCCAAGAGACGCGGTGAACGTAGGGGGTACGAGTGGCTAACGGACGTGGTGACGAACGTAAGGCGAACGAGTGAACGGACGAGTGCACGTGTGAGCGAACGAGTGAACGGACGTGTGCGTGCAAGTGGACGGACGTGTGCGCGTACGTGCGTGCGTTTGCACGTTCACTGGCCGCGTGCGCGCGCACGTACGAAAATAAGGTCGACTGGAGTCGACCTTATTTCTGTACGTGCAAAGCGCTACAATACTAAATCAATACTAAAGAGGCAGGGTCGTGCAAAAATAAGGTCGACTCAAGTCGACCTTATTTTCGTACGTGCGCGTGCGCGTGGCGAGTGACCGTGCAAACGCACGGACGTACGCTCACACGTTCGCTCGCACGTACGCTCACTCGTACATACATACGTTCGGACGTACGTTCACTCGCACGCATGTCGTTCACACACACGTTCATACCCCCGTTCATGTCACTCGTCACTACACGTACGCTAGATAACAAAAATATTTTTACGAGACTTTAAAAAAAAACTAACAAATGATCTCAAATGCATTTGGCAAGGCGGGGTGCTTCCATTTTACGGCCTTGCAAACCATACATGTCAGTGGCCATGGAACACCCATGTACATGAAGTCTTAGTGAGTTCATTTCAAGATCTTTCTTCGGCGCTTCTTTTCAAGGGAAAATAGACACTTATTGAATTGTTGGGTTGGTATGATTTTGACAGTTGCGATGTTGGGCGGGTTGATTGTTGTTTTGGTTGTTGCAGTTTTTGCGATTTGATTGGCGGATGGTCCCTGGTCGGATGATGTTTGTTTGATGAAGCAAGAACGCACTGAAATTTTGGACAACAAAGTGCAAGGAAAAGGGACAAACACACTACGCATTTTGCCTGCCGCAGCATATGTTTGTGATTTCGATGTTTTCTTCAAAGAGGACAAAGCAGCATCACACCAACAAAACGGACATGATACTTTTAAACACATATAAACAATAAAATCGTCATTATTCATATATCCACACCGGCGCAACACCGTGAAACATCTCGTTGCATTTTAATGATTTTGGATGTTTGATATTCCAACGCGTCAGCCATCATGTCGATTGCAACAACCCATGTAATTTCAAAATCAGGACCGTGGGGCCACGGCAAATGATTTGATTCACGTGCGTGAAGTACATCCGCCGAAAAAAAATTACATCGGACTTTGACATTTCATGGTGTTGCCTACGGGTTGGAAAAAATGCAATTAGATTCAAGGTTTTAGGCTGGATGAATACATATACTGGAAACCAAAACCACATATTTGGTTGTTCAAATTCTAGTTGTTTTTTTTGTGGTTTGGCCTTGTTATACATTCCGTGGAACCCGGAAAATGCAGGACAACCTCATTCCAACTCAACATCTCACCATGACTTTAGCGGAGCTGAACAAGGCTGATTGAACGGTTAACTGTTCGCAGCAAACCCTTGGCATGGTATGTTTTTTTTTTCCAAAAAAATGTGACCATACATGTGGCATAACTGGCATAACTTGTAATTTTTGTATGAATTTTGCATGATTTCGTTGAGTTGGAGGGAAAATGTGTGGGAAAATTCCATGGAAAGTGGGTCAATCCGTGGCCGAAATTGGCAGGCGGCCGAATCAGCGAATCTGACCGAGGCACCGAAAGCGGTGATTCCATGTGGCCTGGGATGAATCCCGCAAGATGCTGAAGTTCTACTGGTAACCAGCCAAATTTTGTGATGATTGGTGCACATTCCACATGTTTATTCAGTTTTTCTCGTTTCAAATGGAAACAACATCTTTGAGAGCAACAATTTTTTTTGTTTTCTGATGCCGAAAATCACGGTTGTTTGATTGTCTTTGAGTAAAAAAATAACAAAAATTAAAGCGACATGAAACGACATATTTCACGTTTTCGCGACATTTGTTTGGTCCTGTTCCCGCAGTCGGAACATTTGTTGTGGCGGCATTTGAGCCAACTTTCGCAGGCCAAAACTTGAGTCTTCCAGATGCACTGGGGTTTCCTTTGTGGGACGAACATGAAAACTAAAGACTTGCCATTCACAGAGACAAAATCGGTATCCTACATTCGTTATGAAAACATCCAATACCTAGTTGTTTCTATCCTAATTGAAAAAAAAACAACAAAGGAATTCGTTTTTTTTTGGCCAGGCACGGCGTCATTTTCAGCAGCTGCTGGCGGATCCTAAAACCTCTTCCAAAACGGTGGTTTGGAATACCCTCCTGAAGGCGGAACTGACGAACCGGTCACAATCAGGTCATTGGTCGTTGGTAGATGTTGGTCGCTTGACAAAATTTGGGTGTATTGTTTGGTAAATCAAACACGGTAATTGAAAGTCTCCGAACTTCATGGGCATTGAGGGGAAATCCCCGCCTTAAATGGATGACTTTCCATTGCCACGTTCGATTCCCAGAAGGTACCCAGTTTTGATCCAGATGGAGATGGATGGTGCCCCATTTTCATATTCCAGAGCCGAACGTTGATGGTCAATATTGCAATGGTTCGCAAAGTGTTGTTGCTGACGGATTTTCGAGGAACCAATGCCATTTCATTTTTTTTCGATTGTAGTATATTTTCCTTATTTTAACCATTTTAGCCACCTTGTATTGTGATCATATACTATGTACATTATATTATATATATATAGTCTGTTATTACTTACTGTTGATTCCATCCCTTTTCGTTCTGGCTGTCCATTTCTGTATCCGAGGCATGCTGGTGAAATTCCGTTTTTCTTGCGGTCTTCCGATTTCGAATTTGGTGGTTACCTCATATCGTTGTTATGAAGAAACCAATAGAAAAGAAACCATTTACTTTAGTAGGATCCTATTTTTTCGTATGGTTCTCATGGAGGCCCATGCCAATGCTGGAGACCTTGTGGGAGCAGAGCGATGCTTTCGAGAGATGGAGCAAAAAGGTGGAGCTGGGATTTGGGCAGCCAAATGTGTGAAAAATGGGTGCACCAAGCATTTTTCATGGGAGTGTAGTGGGATGTCTCATCTCCAAAATTGGGAGTTGCGACAAAAAGGACTGACTTGGAGTGATTTAGACTTACTAATAAGGGAGTTAACCATCAACAATGAGGCTTCACCATGGTTCTAACCGTCCTGGAATGGGGCCATAGCCAATGAAACACCCATAGGACAGGACCCCAAAACGGAAACATTCCAAACCAGGGCTTCGTTTGAGGGGAGTATTTGAGATTTTGAGGAAGAGATAGATTGCTCAATTTTGGGGATACATTGGGAAATATCACCATCATGGACCATTAGATCATCCCAGAGGTATTGATCCCCACAATCTCCCAACTTTCATTCCCGTTTCGCGTGACTCATCCTGTCTGTGGTACACACAATGCCAGAAACCATCCCCAAATGGTAGTTGTTTATGCTCACGGCCGCATTAGCGACCCCAGAGGAAAGTGTTATTTTTTACGCTGATCATGGGGTTGGGGTGGGGTGGGGTGGGATGTTAACGTTCATGTTACGCTGATGATGTTACGCTGATCATGGGGGTTGGGGTGGTGTGGTGTGGTGTGGGGTGGGATGTTAACGTACATGCGACAAGTGCTTCAAAAACGTTGTGCGCTACAAGATGCAGTTTTCAAAATTAGTGAAAATTCGAAAGCTTCCCAAACTGACGGGAACGCAATGCTTAGACCAGGCATGGAACCAGTTGAAGAAGTTTGTTCCTAAGGAACTCAGGTCACGAGACTTGAAAAGCCAGCGTGACAATTCACGGCTGACAACGTATGTTTTGGCTTTCATGTTCCGATGGAACGCAAGGCCGCACTTGCTGAAAGCAGTTGGCTCTCTTGCGAAGAAGGCATCTCGCTAGAGTAGAGGACCAAAAAATGCTCATTTTTGGGAAAGCTGGTGTGTTCGAGTCGCAGAGCCAATGGGATTTGCGAAAATGAGGTTCAAACCCATGGTAAATGTTGGACGTTCTGAACACAGGTTCCACCACGACCTTTCAAGTACATTGCAAAACGCAGCACTGAATCCTTGAGACTCGAAGTGAGCAAATTATCCAGGGTCGTTAACGCGGCCGCAGCCTTGTTTATGGCATTGGGTTTACCACATGAATCACCATTAGTCACTATTGAAGCCCAATGAATCACTATTAATCACCATTATTTTCAAGGAAGAACTCCAAGCACCCGATGAGCTGTTTCACCTTTCCATCGGTTCTGCTGGCCCAGCGTGACAGCACCGCGCAACTCATGTAACTGGAATGATACCATGAACATCTGCGAAAGAATCCCAATTTGTTTTGGTCAAATACCGCGATTCCTTGTACTACTTTGTTTTTTTGGTTGTTTTGGAGACATCTAGAAGAAGGGGGTCCCCCAGTTATAGGATGTTATCAGTTGTAGGTTTATAGCTTTTAGCCAGAATTATCCTGATCCTACTCGGCGCCAGGTGTGCGCACCAATGAGAAGACCTATGGAGACTTGGTTGCAGATCTGGGACGCGGGCTGAACATTTGACAACTTCAATTTCGCCCGAGAATGGGACTTATTTCTGGTGGATGAAAATGAGAAGTTGACATAAGTTGACATTTTATTCAACATGGAACACTCATTTTATCAACATTTTATCAACATTTTCTCAACATTTTATCAACATGGAACTTCATAAGGGAACCAAATTGCCATGGCACGGCAACAGATCATCTGGGATCCAAAGTGGCGCCAGAAAGTCTTGCCAGGGAAGTTGGTGGAGGCCGCTGCCAAGGTGCCTGATTTGAACATTACCCAAGAATCCCAGGTATCCTTGAGTTAGTTATGTGCATTTCGGAAACTTTTTGGTAAACGTATAGAATATATATATATGTATTATTACACACACACATATATATATATATCTATCAGTCTATAGTGCCACCCCCAAAACGATCGAACATTTCCACTTTATGATATCACATTTTCTAGAGATTCACTTTTTTGTTTTTCTTTTTGGGATAACGATGACGAGCAACGCGTCGTTCTGGTGTGTCCAGGCTGCTGAGCCGGACCGAGCCGAAACATGGCTCCAGTGCCTGGGGAGCGACAGCCCTGTGCACCTTGGACGAAGGAGGTGGCCGGCCATCAGGGGGAGGTGTGTATAATATTCACTGCTATATCTATCTATAGAAACTAATTCTATATTCTCTATCTATCTATATATATATTTATATAATGTTATGTTTATACTATATATGTGTATATAGTCAGCATGAATGATCCTTGCAATATGATCGAATGTTTATACGTTGACATCATATGGATGAAATCAAATAAAACATCTACATGTACATATATATATATATATATGATCTCCAAGCATGACTGTGATGGCCCTTGACTTCCTGCTCAAGCTGAATGTTACCTGTGGTTGATAACTTGTGGGGTTGGTTTAATCTGGCCAGTGAAATCTCCAGGTGGTCTGCTTGTCCTATCCATTGTGCCCCGTCCTGTTTGCCCTGGCTGCTGGCCGGCTGGTGCCTTGGATTTGCCTCTTCTGTGGCGTTTTTTGGATTTTTGGCCTTGTGGTGGACTTTCCGTTTGGACTTTGCCCGGGCCTCTTCTTTTCCTTGCCGTGAATCAGCCAGGATTGCAGTCAGGTCACGTCTGTCACATTACGTGAATGAGTGATTGCCCTTTGTCCGCTGCTGAGGTAAGGACAATCATAGAAAAGCTAGAGGGTCTTGAAAAGTGGCTGTCCGAAAAGGAGTCCAAAGAGCGAGAACAAGCCTCTGCCTCCACTTCTCAGCCTCGTGGGTATCGGAAGGGGGGACCTGCAGACCGTGCCAAGGTCGCTTTGCCTAGCCAGTCCAGTGTTGCAACGTTTCCAGCCATTGCACCAATTTCTGTGGGGTTTGAGTTGGTAAAAGAAGAAGGAAAAGGTTTCAAGGAGGTTTACGGTGAAGTGCCGTATAGGGGCCTAGAAGACGGCCCTGGACCTGTCCCAGAGTTTTTGGAGGATCAGGCAAGTTTTTGTGGCCGAACGCTCGAGATTGGTGTGCAGCGTGTTCACATTGCCTTTGCTGCTGGTTTTTGGGCCCGCATTGCATTGGAAACTTGTACCCCCCAGACTTTTTCCATCCGCCTGTCCGAGCCAGCTTGTCATTTCATCGTGCTCCGAGCTCAGGGTCTTGGTGGCCACGTTCAGTTTGCATCCGAGAACGATTTTGACTGCTTCAAGGATCGAGTCAGAACAGGTGATTTGGTAGCTCAGGGATTTGCCACGGAAACCGAGATCAGCGTCTTCTGCTACGCTGCACGAATTGCTTTGCCCCCAATTTTTAAGCAATGCTGACCCGTGACAGAATCAAGCCAGCCTCTTTAGGAGAGCCAAACCTTTTGATCTTCTCTGTGCCAGCCACAATTGCATTGGCCGGAGAAGAGATGGAAGTTTATGCACTGCCAATTCAGATTCTCCTTGCCGTTCCGGACAATGTTCTCAGTCCACAGTCCTTGCAATCCGGCCAAGAAGATGAAAACGAGCTTGCAATGATTGGCCCTAATTCAGTGTTTCAAGTTCCCATGTTTGAGGAGGCCGACGACCTTTCGGTGATTGAGCTTGGAATCGTAGGCGATGTTGTGGTTGTTGACATGACAGACGAAGTGCTGTCTCTCTGCCGCGAGTATGACCCTGTGACTGATTCCCTCCTCACCATTGGCGGGTTTTCTGATGTTCATCCGAATGCGCTTCCTGATTGCAACGTCCTTTTTGACAAAGTCAAGGAATGGATCAGTGCCAGAAGTGATGAGAGGTCGGGTTTTTATACCGCTCAAGAAGACCGGGAAGAGCCAGCTGCAAAACCTGTTCCTCATGCTTCGCCAAAAAAGGCGACGCCAAAAGTGCGTGTCACCAATTCTATGATTGCAGAACAGCTCAGCACCTTGGCAGCCCAAATGCAGGTGCTGACACAACGCCAAGATCGTTTGGAGAAATCAAAGAGCTCTTCTGCAGAAAATGTTGGAGGTCGGGATCCTGGCATTTTGCCAAATGCCCAACCGCAAAAGCTTCCCGCGGTTTCAGCGGGCCTCCCAAATCCGAGTGGAGTATCCCAGATTGCTGCAAAAGCATTGTCCCTTACAGGACCCCCGCCAAAGACCATGAGAAATGTCCCGCAGGCCGGGCCTCCAGATCTGACGCAAATGGACGACCCTCTGGACCCTCTCCAAGCTCGTCCCGAGGAACCAATGGCAATAGTATCAGCGCTGGCACAGCAAAGCACTGCAATCACAGCCCTTGTTGCACATCTGGCGTCCCAAGCCCCAGATGCTTTAGGAGACTTGGCATCCTTAGGTCACAGTACGAGTTCAACAAAAGGTGTTCAAAAAAGAGAAAGGATGCAGAACGATCTAGCAACAGGCCAGAGCATGTACTTTGTCCAAATGATGCAGCAGCTTCACCGACGCTTGCACCCTGCAAAGCCAGTACCGCAAACAGAGGAGGAGCTATGCCATTTGTCAGTTTTGACTTATCTGGAGAGGCAAGGAGGGTACCGACAGCACAGAGATCTAGGTTTGATCGCTTGGATCTTAGGGTATGCTATAGACGCAGCAGCAATGGGGGATCTTCGCAGAACCAAGGAAATCATGGCCTTGATGATGGTCTCGGTGGAGCAGGCGGCAGTCGACAAAGGAGATTGGAGCCTAGCTTATCTTCTTACCCTTTTAGAAGATCCTCCACTGCAGATGTTCCAGGAGCGCTCGACCACCCTGGGTCAGCACAGCAAGGTTTTTGGGCCTCTGGTTCCTCCGAACTGGACAGCCGTTTGCCTAGCATACCTGAAGGATATGGAAGTGCTTGCATCGAAACGCAACGAGACGGCAAGAAACCTGCAAAGGCAATGCCCAGCAGCTCAAGTGTAGACCCAGGAGGGAGTGCCGAACCAGACAGAGAAGCGTCACCCAAACGGAAACCTCGGTTTCCGAGGAAGCCCAAAGCAAAAGCGTCTGCGGAGGCTTAGCTTGGCCTCTTTCAATGAGGGGTAAGGATAAGCACAATGTTGTTGAACCTTCCCCCCAATCTTTAATTGAATTAGGTAGCCCCCGTAAAGTTGTGGATGGGATGGACTTTCATAGGTCTAAACAACATAAAAACCCTAAAAATGCAGAGCCTGTCCAGGGGCCTTCGGATGATAAAAGTCGTCCTGAGTTTGCTGTGGACACCATCTCCTTCCATAAATGGTGTTCATTTTTGGAAGTTTCAGTCCTTAGAACTAGGACCCCGTTTGCACGTTTCCTTAATTCCACTTTGCACTTGCAACGAGACACCCAAGTCTCGGCATCGCCAGCGTTCCCTTTGCCGATTCCTTTTGAAGGGATTTTTGCAAAGATGCCTCCAGGTCTTTCATCCACAAAGAGGCGCCAGGTGCATTTCCGTAGGGCTTTGCATGTTGTTATCATGGCGTTGAACTTTTGGTGCGCTGGAAGCAGCTTCATACCACTGAAGCTTCTGGAGAGGACCCCATCGCAAAGCCAGCGTGCAATTGTGCGACGGCTGTCAGGTCTTTTGCTGGCTGACGGCCCTACTGACCCTTTTCAGGTGCTTGGTAGTGGCCGACGTTTTCCACAGCTTTTAGCTAGGTTAGGTGAGCTTTCTCAGTGCATTACAAAACTTGGGGTAGGTGCTGGACCATATGAGAAGATCTATCGGGGTCATGATGTGCCCATGGACAGTTCGCTTTTTGCCGAGTTAGAGCCCTACAAGAGTTTGGATGCAAGCCGCCTTAAGGTTGTTGGTGAAGGTGCTTTCGATGCTACGCCTTTCCTTGGCCCTGAGTTAGCAATGGCATACCGCTATCCTGACTCTTTGCTGCGTGAGTATATACCAAAGCCTTATGAATATCCGAAAGTTCCTGACCCTGCCAGTGAAGTAGTCCAACTTGCAAAGCTTTGGGACGTGCGTGGTTTGCTTTATTTGCATGATGTGGACTTGCAACATGAGAGGCACTATGAGCTTGTCAGGGTTTTCAATTGCCTCAAAAACGAGGCATGTGACAGACAAATCGGAGACCGTAGAGGACGAAATGCCTGTGAATGTAGGGTGCTTGGGCCATCTGTGGATTTACCCACAGGTCCTGACCTGCTTGACTTACAGGTGAAGGCATCAGAAGAAACCCTATCTGTGATTTGCACTGACCGCAGGGATTTTTACCATCAGTTTGCCACCAGTCGAAACCGTGCCTTGTCGAACTCTGTAGGCCCCGTCATTGTACTGGATGAGATGATTGGTACGACAGCCTATGAAGTTTTTCAGAGCGAGAGGCGTAAGAGGAAGCCCAGCAGAACTGCCGGCGGCGATGGACTTGGATTTTCTTGCCGTCAGGGTTTCAAAAAATGTGATAAAGGTTTCTGCATGGCCTCCTTCAGTAGCATCTTTCAGGGTGATCATGCTGGTGTCGAAATTGCAACTGATGCCCATACTGGTCTCTTGCAGTCTGTAGGTCTTTTGTCCCACCAGACCAGGCTTGTTTCCAGCAGACCTTTTCAGGGATCGGACCTTTGTGAAGGGCTTGTGATTGATGATTACTTTGCCATTGCGAAAGTTCCCAGGGGCCTTCTTGTTGCAGACCCTGCCCAAAGATGTTTGAGCACTAGTAAGGCCGTCTATAGTAAGCATGGCATTATAGGTTCCGATGACAAAGACATCAAAGGTGAAAGGCGAGCCAAGGTAATCGGGGCCTATGTTAACGCATCTGACCAAGCCCAAGACAGAGGACATGTCCTCATTTCTGCCCCTCCAGCAAAAAGGTATGCCATGGCATGGGTCACTTTCCAGTTGTGCCAATTGACCCATACCACTGATGCTCTTCATCTGTGTGTGTTGGGGGGCTGGACCTCCATCCTCATGTATAGACGCCCTCTCATGTCAGTGCAGCAAAAGAGCTTTCACCTGGTCGATATGGATGTGTTTGATGCATCGCTTCCCAAGATGATTAGGCTACCACGTGCAGTTGCAACCGAGTTGGTCTTGCTTAGTGTTCTTGCGCCATTGGCAGTTGCTGACGTAGCAGCTGATTTCTGTCAGGACATTTTCTGCACCGATGCTTCGCTTGAGAAGGGAGCAATCCTTGCCAGCCCTCTGGACCGTAGTGTGATGCAGGTAGCCTGGAGGTGCTGCAGGTCAAAAGGAGGTTACTCAAAACTTCTGTCAAAGGAACAGGTCGTGCTTTCCAAGTCTATTGGTTTTGAAGAAGTTGATCCTGTCTTGGAACAGAAGGTGACGCGACCTCTGGCATATAGGTTTGCTTTTATTGAATTTTTTGCCGGAGCAGCCACTGTTACTCAGAAGGTCGCAGCTTTGGGTTTTTCAGTTTGCAACCCTATTGATATTTCGTTTGATGTCGAGCTCAATATGAAACATGTCCATGTCCTTGAGTGGCTCTTGCACCTCATCCAAAACCACTACGTTGAGAGTTTTATGATTGAGCCTCCCTGCACCACCTTCTCAGTAATGAGGAGACCTCCCCTACGTTCTAAGGAGCAGCCTTTTGGTTTCGACCCAAGTGACCCTCAAACAGAAGATGGCACCATCCTGGCGCATCGGTCTTTTGAGGTCTTTGACAGTGGCCTGAGGTGTGGTGTCACAGGAGTGCTTGAAAACCCATGGAGTTCCAAGATCAAGTTTTTGCCTGCTTGGGAGATTTTGATGGCCCATGCAGGTTGCCAGCTTATTAGATGTGATTCTTGCTTCTATGGATCAATCCACCTTAAGGCCTTCGCCTTTCTTTGCGCTTGGGCAGACATTGCCCCAATCTCCGGTAGGTGTACTGGTGACCACTCTCATGTCCCGATTCAGGGTGCCTTTACAAAGTCTTCAGCAACATACGTGGATGCACTGTCTGGTGCACTTGCCCAGGTTATGGCTATTGGGATCCGACGCCTGAGAGCTTTCAAAGAATCCCTTGATGTGCCCAATGCACATGGGCTCGAAAATCAGCTTCTCAATGACCTTTGCATATCCCTTTCTTGGAACCTTGTAAGTGTCTGGACTTTTAAGGTCTCTTCCCATATTAATGTGCTGGAGCTCTCCGCTGTCGTAAAGCTGGCTGGTATCCTTGTAAAAGCTGGAAAATCTGTACGGGTCGTGGTCCTGGTTGATTCGAACGTTGTCCGATGTGCTGCTGCAAAAGGCCGCTCCTCTTCACGTGCCCTTGCAAGAGCTTTGTGTAGGTTAGCTGCATTGTGCATTGCAGGAGGTATCTACCTCTCCATTGGTTTTGCGCCTACAAGGCTTAACCCTGCAGATGACCCCAGGCGAGACAGAGACATCCGGACTGCATCCAATGGCCTTGGTCTTTCCTTTTGGGATCCTGTGGATTTGTATCGACTTGCAGCTGTTCCAAAGCTTCGACGGTGGATTTCCAACTGGGTTCGCCTTGTCCTATGTCTGCGTGGCCCCTGTGCTCTGTCTTTTTCTGACCGGAGTCTCTACCGCTCCCCTGCCTTTATGTTTGGTTTTCCAGGTGCTGTGGATTTCCCTACGAACGTCTGCCGCATGTCCGGCGTCTGTTCGATTCCACTTTGGGTTTTCCTGGTGAAGGGCCCCTGGGGATTTTCACTGGCCTTTTTAGTTGCCCCCTTCTTTCGGCGGTAGTGTGGACTTTGCTTAGGGTAGGTTGCCATGGAGTGTTGATCCCTCGAAACGCAGGTGATGTCCGGCGACAGATGCTGAGGATGGAGCGCCCGCCTCTTCAAGAGGGTCGTCCAGTTCTGGCTGTAACAAGTGAAGCACGAGCGAGTTTTTTGGAGCTTTTTGGAAGGTGGCTGGCTTCAATTGGTTTTTCTCTGGAAGACCTGCTTCAGCATCACATTCAATATATCGCGGAGATCAACGAGCTTCTGGTTAAATATGGCCGTAACCTCTATGCAGTGGGTAGACCCTACAACCACTTCGCTGAAACTATAAATGCTGTAGCTGCAAAGAAGCCAGCTATACGCAGACAACTACAAGAGGCGTGGAATTTTGCTTTTGCGTGGGTAAGAGAAGAACCTTCCACGCATCACATTGCCCTTCCCTGGCAAATTCTCCTGGCAGCTTTGTCGGTGAGCCTCCTATGGGGGTGGTTGGATATGGCCGGAATGCTGGCATTGACATGGGGCGCTTTACTACGTGTCGGTGAGTTCACACAGGCAGTTCGCTCAGACTTGCTTCTGCCCGTGGACACCAATTTTACAAATTCTTTTGCCCTGCTCGCCTTGAAGGAACCAAAGACGAGATTTACTGCAGCGAGGCATCAAAGCGCGAAATTGGATATTCCTGATTTACTGAAAATTGTTCATTTGGCCTTCTCCAGGATGAAACCATTCCAGAAATTGTGGCCAAAGTCTGGTCAAACTCTACGAGTGAGATTTCGCCAGATTCTGCTTGAGTTGGGTATTGGCCCTAACACAAAATTGAATGGAAAAGGTTTGGACTTGGGGTCATTACGTCCTGGAGGTGCCGCATGGATGATCCAGCAATGTGAAGATCCTACTTTTACGCGTCGCCGAGGTCGCTGGGTGAATGAAAAAACAATGGAAATCTACATCCAAGAGATCTCCTGTTTCCAATTTCTTACGGTTCTTTCTGACAGTGCAAGGGCAAAAGTTTACACACTTTGTGAAGCGTTCCCATGGTTTTCTTTACAAGCTGAACAATTGTGGCAGGCCAACGTTCCTGCCAATGTTTGGTATCAGGTATTGTCTCGGCAAGTTACAAGGGACTAGTGGGAGAAATGGATCAGTCCTCCAGCTCTCAACTTTGATCGAGCAACGGAGTGACATGTTGAACAACCACGCAAGGAAAACTGGAAGGAAAAGTGCGCCGAACTTGAATTCTTATATATATATATAATATACATACATATCTATCTATGTATCTAATATGTTCAACCTTTGAAGGTCCGTGGTATGTTTCTGCCCAAACTCCGCTTGTTGCTGAGGCCGTACAACACTATGATCGACGCTTGCGCCAAGGCCAATGACACCCAGCGCGCGGTGAAATGGCTGCAGCAGATGAAAGAACTTCAGCTGAGGCCCATGGATGGATTGTGGAGTATCTCTATATATGTATATATATTATCTATGATAGATGTTAGAGATTAGAGATTGGAGATTACAGACTATCGATCGATCTATCTATCTATCTATCTTTCTATCTATCTATCTATCGATCGACCGATCGATCGATCTATCGATCTATCGATTTATCGATCTATCGATCTATCGATCTATCGATCTATCGATCTATCGATCTATCGATCTATCGATCTATCGATCGATCTATCGATTTATCTATCTATCTATCTATCTATCTATATATCTAGATGTATTTATTGGAATTTAGCTACATCTTTACTGTACATAGAATTTCTTTCCGATGCTTTTTTTCTCCAGAATGTTGGGGATTTTTCACAGGGGATTGAGGTACAAGGTCCAAGTTGAGGGCATGAAATTCGTCACTTCGCCCTGGGCATTGGCCCAGCGGATCTTAACGGTGTTTTCTCAGATGGCTTCAAGCTTTACTTTACCCCAATTCCGCAAGAAAATGTTCTATGGACGCGTTTTTGAGTTGGCAAGGTGCATCGACATGCAGCGCTTAGGCCATGAATTTCAAGAGCGGTGCTTTCGGGTGATTCCCTGCAATTCCCATCCCCGAAACCCTGGTGCAACGTACTCGATCTGTGCATGTTGTTCTGCACCTTGTGGCTTTGTTGCGATCGGGGGGTCGCATTATTTTGAGGGTGGTTCAGTGGTTCCGATACTTTTGTGATACATAAGATAGTATCAATATGTATCAATCACCATGAAAAATGGCATACACATCACCATCATTGCTAGTGTTTGATAGACCCTTTTGGTCTACATTACTCGGATTTTACCCTATGGTAATTTAATATATATACCTGAAAATGGTCCTTTTATAGTTGATTTTCCTATTCACATGGTGATTTTCCATAGCTATGTTAGTTTACCAGAGGGTATTCTTTTTGTTTTCTGAATCTTCCGAATCTTCCTGGGGTTGCTCCAAGCAACGCCAGGCCTTCGGGCATCGCCTACCATGCCTTGATCAATGCCTTTGCACAGGACGATCGCTTGTAATCCTATATGGGTATGGATCAATACCTATTAATACCATTTTTAGGGGGGATGAACATCCATAAATCCCAGCTATTTTGATGTGAACTACAGGGGTACAAGGTTTTGACACACTGCCATATATCTTCTAAATGGGTGTAATTTGGAGAGGAAATTGGATGGTAAAACACCTGTAGGTAGTCTGATTTCCAGATTGGTTTCTGGAAAAATCAGCTCGTGGATTAGTTTTTTCTGGATGTACTGTAAATGAGATGTCAAAACTCCAGTATGATGGTAAATGATTGTGAATGGGGTAACCCAAAAATCCAGCGATGTAGTTTTGACCATATTTCTTCCCTCAATTATATAGGGATGACACCCATTCCTGGACAAATTCGTTTCATCTGAAAAATGATGATGAGATGGAATGGCACCCGCCTGTCCAGAAAGGAGAAGCACGACCCTTTGCATGATGCTTCAACCAGAAATCAACATCACGATCCAGCAGAAGTAACAACATATATAGATAAGCAGGCATCTACCTCAAAATGATTGAACCCAAAAAGATTCCTCTAATCCAACCGTACTCAACGGCCAATGTACTACATTACTTTTGGGTTGCGTTTCCAGACAATAGCGGTATCTCTCAAATTCCAGTGTAGTGATCCAACAAATCTCTTCGGCTATTTCTTGTCAATGAAACACCACGTATTTCACATGTATATTTTGTCATTGTTCTCGAAGAAGAAGAAGGAGAAGAAGAAGAAGAAGCAGCAGCAGCAGAATAAGCACTCGTGGTTTTCTATTTGTCATTCATGTATTTCCTCAACCAGGTTGATAATCATATTTTCTTCCCAATTCTTGGACAGACCCAAAAATCGTATTGTTGCTTGTATATCCCCTTAAGTATTCCCACCATTGCAGGTTATAAACTTGCGTTTTGGTGGCTTAAGTCACTCATAAAAACCCAAAATGATGGTTAAAAAATCACAATTTTGATGCTTAAGTCACCAGTTTTGATGGGTCAATCACTATTTGTGATGGTAAAACCCCCAAGTTTTCATGTAAAAAAAACACTATTTTCCAGCTTAGATGGGCATTTTTGATGATTGAACCCCCATTTGTGGCTGAACTCCAGCTTCGTGGCTCAAACGGCAAGGCCGGCGACCTCCGCGGCGCCTTGGTTTGGCTGCGCGAGGCGTCCGAGCTCGGTGCCGAGGGTGGCGAGGCCACGTTTCTGGCGCTGCTGATGGGCTGCGATGCTTGGTTTTTCTGGGTTGGGGTGGGGGGAGCCATTGACCAACCTACCAGGTTAACCAATCAACCAGGTTATATCCCATAGTTCTATGATGTTCTATGGCTATATCCCCCCTTCATCAACCCGAGCAGTTAACCATACTTAATGGGTTGGGGGGATATAGCCATAGAACTATGGGATATAGCCGGCCAACCAGATAATGGATGTTTTTCCATAGTCATGGGGCTACCCCCAATAGCTGGAGGGTTTATGGAAAGTCCGAAAATAAAGTGGATGATTTGGGGGTACCCCCTTTCAGGAACCCGCCTATATAACCATTATAACCATAGTGAATGGGTTTATGAACCAACCAATGACTATAGTTGATGGGTGAAAATAGACGGGCTGATCAACCGACTTCTCTTGGGAGGCTTCGCCTGCTGGCTTGTACTTCAGAAATAGGAAGATTTAACAATAAAGAAATGGAATTCAGTCAGCAAAAGCTGGGGGTTTAACCACCCAATTTGTGGGAATTTACTATCGGGTGGTGAATGGAGGGACCGAGCTGTGAAGGGGAGCTATGGCTGTTTCCCAAGACTACATGTGTCACATGTTAGTTCAATCAGCCAATTTATGGTGATTTACAGGAACCAACCAATAGATATTTGGCAGTGCTTGAAAATGATTGGAAAACCACCATTCCATCCACTGGTTAACCATGATCGTCCCATATTGTCCCCATGGTTCTAGCCATGAATTGAGGGTAAATCCACCATTTCAGACACACATGTCAATGAGTCAAATATACCATGACATATCCAATAATTGTAAGACGATTGGAGAATGCAATCGCCGAAAGTGTAACCAATAAGTCATCTCGGAATCTCGAATTTTTCCATGAGCTTCCAGCCATGTTTGGCAGGACAGTTGGGGAAACTTGGTGAAGTTTCTTGATGTTCGATGTTTGGCACAGCTTTTGAAGAATCCGTGAGGAACCGACATGTGTTCTTGGAAAAGTATGGCACCTCCAAATTTGATGGTTTATCATCATTTTCCCTATCAACATGGCCATGAATAGGTGGTAAGTACCCATAAATCATACTGTTGATTGTGCTTGTATATCATACCATTAAATCCCATTAAATCCCATAGAATCCCATTAATATCTATTGAATCCCATCAATATCTATTAAAGCCCTTTTAATATCCCATTGAATCCAATTCATATCTCATTAAATCCCATTAGTATCCCGTTTATATCCCTTAAATTATAAAGTCCCATTAATATCCCATTATGTATGGTGAAGTTTTTAATTTCGTTGCGTCAAAATCAGCTAGGCGAGAAGCGCGCGCCCAGATCTGGCCAAAGAGTGGATCCAGGAGATGAAAGCACAGGACGCCCTGCAGCTGCCGGAGAAAGCCATTGGGATATTCATGTGATTTTCGGGATTTTAGTGGGACATGAATGGGATATTAATAGGATACCTAAATTTCCAATTGAAGAGTTTTCCAACTGCCTGTGTGGTTGATTTTTTTTTAATTGGGGGGTTATACTCTCCAATTTTAATTGGGGATTTTCAGAATCCATGAGCAATCCCATCCTCCAACAGTGGGTGTGTCTAGAAACGGGATATACGAACCAAAATGGCAACTTTCCTGTGGAAAATGATTACGAACCATCAAAATGTTGGGACCCTATTTTTAGACAAGCTCACAGTATTACTGTTTATATCTATGATGTGTGTATATATAATGTATACATACACGTATAAACATATGTACATATACACACACATATATATATATAGATATGTATGTAACTGTATCTGTACGTATTTAGCCATATCTATATATGTATATACATATATATATATATATACACCTACATATCTATTGTCTATATATCTACATATCTACATCATATCTATATATCTTTATCTGTATCTGTATATCTAGAATCTAGATATTTACATGTCTACATACATATATGTATATATATATATATGTATATATATATATATCTACATATCTATGTATCTATGTATCTGTACTATACATCTACACACCTATACATCTATACATCTATATCCAATATCGAATATCTAATATCTAATCTCTAATTTCCATTATTGAACATCTCATATCTATTTCTATATCTGTTCTACTGTACAATTGGGATTCGAGCGGGCAGTAGACCTGCAGCAACCCCCCCCCTGTCTGCTGGGATGACCTCAAAGTTTTGGCTTTTCACGGAATACACCCCAGTTTAGAATACAATCTACAACAGATTGATAGTTTAATTTCAAGATCTTGTATAATATGTATATATATATATACATGTGTACATATTTATATTTACATATTTATATTGACATATTTATATTGACATATATTTATATTGACATATATTTATATTGACATATATTTATATTGACATATATTTATATTGACATATATTTATATTGACATATATTTATATTGACATATATTTATATTGACATATATTCTATTGACATATTTCTATTGACATATTTCTATTGACATATTTCTATTGACATATTTCTATTGACATATTTCTATTGACATATTTCTATTGACATATTTCTATTGACATATTTCTATTGACATATTTCTATTGACATATTTCTATTGACATATTTCTATTGACATATTTCTATTGACATATTTCTATTGACATATTTCTATTGACACTGGGGTGTATCATCACATTACCAGCTTCATTTTTATCTGTTTGACGAAGAAACACTTAAGAAGTCATCCCAGCTGCCGCCCCGCCAGGGCCTGACTCCGAGCATCAAGTGCTACAGTGCTGCCCTTGGCTCGGCTCGCTCGGCTCAACAAGCGGCCCAGTGGCTTCGCGAGCCCAGGCGGAGTTTGGTGCTGGATTTTTTGGAGCTGGCACTGGTGACTTTTTGGATTGATATCACCAGAAATTGGGAGGTTTTCTTGGTTTTAGTATGTTTTATTAATGTTTCAGTATGAAATGTATGAAGCTCTTGTGTTGCGCAATGGCTGGACTGAAGAGTTCAATGGATCCACCTGTGACTTGGGGCCTCAAAGTTGCTGTCCGCCCGGGTTTGGTGATACCCATGGGGCCTAAGTATCAAAGATATCAGATCAGATCGCATCCCGCATGGAGGACCTTCTGCCAAAGTACCAAAGTCCAAGGTCCAAGCATGCAGGGTGGTACAAGTATGCTGGTCCGCAGTAGACGAAGAAATGTGAAGATTTTTTTCTTGTTTGCCACATATGATCACATATGAAACGCCAAGAATAAATGGTTAAAATTGTGGTTAATTAATCATCATTTTCCGCTGTAGAACAAGCATTTCATGGGTATATGTCATGTTAGTAAAACAATATAGCTATGGATCAATACCTATACATACCATTTTTAGGGGGATGAACATCCATAAATCCCAGCTATTTTGATGTTCACCAGGGGGATAGGGTTTTGACCCATCCCCATATAGGATCCACCATCCTCAACATTGGAGGCCATGGATGCCTCAGCAATTCCTCAGGAAATGCGGGAGAGCCATACCGAGCTCGACACCGAAGGCCACTGGAATTGGGGAATAAGATCTATACCTCCATTGAAAAACCTCCAATTTTTTCTATCAACCTCTCTACATTTGTATATTTCCATATCTATATCATTATATATATATATATATCATTATGTATATATATTTATCATTATATATATATATATCATTATATATATAATTATATATATAATTATATATATATATATAATTATATATATACATATTTATGTATTGCACATAAGGAGGGACTTTCCATTGCCAGTCGCTGCGCAACATCGCGTGCTCCAAGCCCGAGAGGCTACACTGTGCTGATCCATGGCTGTGCTGAGCGCGGAGAGTTGCAAGAGGCAGAGAAATGGATGCAGGACCCGGCTGGGGATGGTTGCGAAATCCTGCACCAGGCAGGGTAACTATTGGGAACTATAAAACACTGTAAATCATGGGTTTACAATGGGATAAACCATCTACGTGGTGCAGGATTTCGCAACCATCCACAGTAGGTGTTTTCTTTGGAGACCCGGTAAGCAGAAAGACGTGGAAAACCCATGGGGAATCCCATTCGGAAAAAATGATCGATAAATGCTGGGTTTTTCACATCGAACTGTAAACATTTACACCATGGTCGTTTTTCTTCCTCAACTTTGATCCAAAGTCTTTCTTTTGATGTTTAGTGTTGGCAGACAAATCCACATTTTGTGTGCTTGTTTCCTAGTTTTTGCCGCTCAAATCCTCAGTTTTTCTACTTTCGATCTTCAATTTCGAGTGATTCACACATTTTCGAACTAGCAGGAAGCACTTACGTCCAAGAAATCCGATCTGCAGCGCCGTTGGCAGCACGGGATTTGCCGAATTGACTTCCGGGGTTCCACAATTATGGGCACTACTTGCAGATGGAGTTCCAATGGCCCATTATATAGAATTCAAGTGATGGGCACTTGAAACCACATTTAGTTGGTTGCATATATCCAGTTTGGATGTGTCTAACTGTCTATCTGTCTAACCCCATATTTTGGTTGTTTATCCCCCTTATGCTGGTTGGTCTTTCAAATCATTTTCTTGGTTCGAAGCTCCGTTTTTTGTTGATTCTACCCCACTCGAATGTTCTGCAACTTGCAACTCCTAAACCTTCATGACGGGTGGAGCTTGGTTCAACGACCCAGGTGCTTCGCGACCATGGTGAACGCCTATGCCAGGGCTACTGCTGTGGAGGGAGCGGATCGATGGCTTTCGGTCATGGAGAAGGACGAAACCTGGGGAAAACTGGGTTCAAATCACCCATATTTTGATGGTTTATACCACCCAAATAAAATGGTCAGATTGAGGATGGTGGATCCTATGGTTTTTCTAACATATACCTCCGAAATGCTTGTTCCAATGGGGAAGATGATGATTAACCATAGGATTTTGGGTGGTTTAACTAGCCCTCCTTGGGGGGATTTCGCAATATTGAAGGTAAAATCACACCATGACTGGGCCCCCCCGAAAGACTAGATCCAGTACTAAACACCTAGTTTCCTTGGAAGGGATTCCATAGATATGGAAAACCTAATGTAGATCATTTTGCAAACGAGAAACGACTATCCATTTCCATATGGTTTTGTGAATTTACGCGAGGCTATGAGATGTTCATTTTGAGATGGTGAAGGTAGTAGAGCTCCGTGCTGGTTGCGGGTTGGGTTCTTGCAGGAGCACCTCAGACCCAATGAGGCCCCCTTTGGGAGATGCTGTCGACCCACATTTTATGCGTGTCTGACGATTGGGGTTTTCTGCCTGGCCAAGTTTCATATGGACATGATGATAAAGCAGTGGATGCAATCAGCTACCCCATTCTCGGAGCCTATTCTCGTACCTTCCTGATGTTTGCCCCTGATTTGATGCTCGGTTTCGCCTTCTGCAACCAATGTGAATGATGTATTCTCTTGTTCGGAAAAGCGTCGCCAACACATCGTGAGAGATGGAGAACTGGGAAAACAATGGAACTGAACCAGGCCCGGAGTGCATACAACGATGAATTGGATTGCATCGGAAAAGCTTTGCAATTCTGTCAGTCAACAGTGGCTTCTACTCCAGAGGAATCAGACAATGCCAGGCGACAAGAAAGCCAAAGAAAAGTAGATACACACTATACTCATCTATGAATGACATTGGTGTGGCAGAATGCTTTCACACTTAGCTCTGTCAAAAATATGCTTCCTCAACAGAAGAACTGTTTCAGCATGAATGTGAACTAAAAGAAGACGAAAATACATTAATTAGATGCAAGGCGCAATATCGCCAAGACAGCAATCCGATACATACAAACTACAAGTCTTGAGTGAGTTGAACAAGGACAACTTGTGAAAAGGATTTTAGAGAAGCAAACAAGGACAGGCTATGCAAGAGTACCCAAGAATACAGAGAGCATAAAAAGAAACATCACAGGAGACAAGTAACGCTATAAGTATGCAAACGACAATATGAGACAATACAAAAAGGCTAGCAAGGCTTGGCTAGGATTGAGGAAAAAGACACTTAACACAGAAATGCCAATCAAGAGTGCTTGCAGCAATGTATTAGGACATACATGGGCGAAGATATTTTCGTTCGATTTTGCGATTGTGAGATGATAACAGAAAAGCCAATATCGCAAAAAAAAATCAAGCAAACACAACGTGAATGAGCAGCACCATGAAACACAGAATCAAGACCGGCAAACAAATAAGAGCATCAGATAATTCAACTACCATCTTGTGAGTTTCTCCGAGACAAATCATGCACTATCCCCCAAAATTGTCATATAGGTTGATTTCTATCCTTTCTCCTTGTTGTACTTGATTTCCGCATTATATATATATAATATGATCGAATGTTGTGGCTTATTGGGCTTATTGATACGATTGGTTGCGGGGTATGAAAGCCAGCTGGTACACGATGCTCTGCTACTGAGAATTTCTCCTTCGAACCACAGAAATTTTGCCGCGGAGAAAGTCCACCGGTAAGTGGTTCAGAACCATAACACAACCCAGTTGTACATGGGATACAGATGGATACACTATCATATGGGGATGGATCAGAACATATGAAATAATATAATATAACATAATATAATATAATATATAATATATAATATATAATATATAATATATAATATATAATAAATAATATAATATAGTAAAATATAATATAGTAAAATATAATATAGTAAAATATAATATAGTAAAATATAATATAGTAAAATATAATATATAATATAATATATAATATAATATAATATATAATATAATATAATATAACATAATATAGTATAACATAGTATAATATAGTATACCACAATATAATATAATATGATATGATATAATAAAATATAAAATATAATATATAAAATATAATATATAAAATATAATATATAAAATATAATATATAAAATATAATATATAAAATATAATATATAAAATATAATATATAATATATAATATATAATATATAATATATAGTATATAATATATAATATATAATATATAATATATAATATATAATATATAATATAATGTAATACAATATAATATAATATAATGTAATGTAATATGATACAATGTAATATCATACAGTATAATATAATGTAACATAATATAATATAATATGATATGAGATAATTCAATATATTATAATATGATACAATACAGTACAATCTAATATAATACAATAAAATATAATACAATATAATATAATATAATACAATATAATATAATACAACATAATATAATACAATATAATAGAATACAATATCATATAATATAATACAATATAATACAATATAATACAATACAAGATAATATAATACAATATAATATAGTATAGTATATTATACTATACTATGATATAATATAATATGATATGATATGATATAATTTAATATGTTATAATATGATACAATACAATACAATACAATCTAATATAAAACTATATCTTATGATATAATATAATATAATACAATATAATATAGTCTAGTATACTATACTATACTATAATATGATATGATATAATATAATATAATATAATATATCTTATATATTTCACGGATGAACATCCCTGAACATCCATAAGTACCAACTGATGTGCATAGCAGGTTATCTACGGTAGTCTGATCTCATCCAGCCGCGATGCTCAACTCGCCGAAAGGCTGCTTCAGAGGTGCCTGGGACCGCGGAGCACAGCTAGTGCTGGTCCTGCTGGGTAGTTGGTGTGATTTTTGTGGGTATAAGCGTATAACCATTGTAATCACCCCTTGAAGTTGGTATATCAACTCGATAATTATGGCCATATACTCGCTTGTTAAGTGGAAGTGCACCCCCAAGTATCAGGCCAAGTTATGGTTGTAAAGTTGGATCGGAACCCCACTGAAAAGTGGATTAATTCCATCCCCCTAATATTAAACACCTCTCAAAAACCATAGCTTTGTTGTGGATTTACACATATTTGTTACCATTTAGTACCATTTAGGTATATTTAGGTGTTTTTTTTTAATGAAAGGGGGATAGGCTTCTCCTTGGACCAAATGGTCCAGTTGCAAGCGCCGAAGCACCGGCGCCAGGATGAGGGACTCCAAGCTCGTGCCTAATGCCCCTGGGCACGAGAGATGGGTTTTCGTGCAAAACATGGGGAAAACCCACCAAAATCCAAGGGTTGATAGGAAAAAGGGGACGAGTTTGGACCAGAAGTAGCTCTGTTGCTGGCCAATAACGAGGTATTTCTCGTGCTTGCGCATGATTCTATTCTTCTTATCAACGGAAGTTCAGTTAGAAAACTTCTGAGTCACGGACGATGGTCATGGTTAGCATTCACACCATCATGTCAACCACATCATCATGTCAACCACCCATCATCATCAAGTAGTTGGGAAGTGTAACACTTCGGAAGCGTGTGAATTCACGGGTAATTATAATGGTCTCGGGCGCGAAACTCTGTGTTTTTTTCGGGTAATTTGGCTCCTGGAGCCGCCGATGTAGGGTCTCTGTTTCTGCGGTTGGGGGGCTTGATTTGGGAAAGATGTCAGCGAGAGCTCGATTTGCCTTTGAACACGTTAAAAAACTCGCGGTCTCGGAGCACTTCAGAAGATGAGGTCAGCAAAATGTGCACCAGACTGTATCGAGCTCGATTTGCGCTTCAAAATCGTAAGAAACTGATGGGATCGGAGCACTTTTGGAAGATCAGGTCGGCAAAATGTGCACGAGAGTGTAGCTCGATTTGCGCTTCAAAATCGCAAAGCACTGAGGGGATCGGAGCACTTTTGGAAGATGAAGTCGCACAAGTGCCTTGATTCCTCGATTCATTGACTCATTGGTTCTTTGATTCCTTGATTCGTTGGTTCTTTGATTCATTGATTCATTGCTTCATTGATTCACTCATTCGGTGGTTCAGTGATTCATTGATTCATCCGTTTGTTGATTCATTGTTTTTTCATCGATTCATTGCTTCAGCACTTCATTGCTTCTGCATCTCAATAACTTTCCTATAGGCTATTGATTTCTTATAGCCAGTTTTACTTTTTCGAAACTTCCAGCCTGGCACGGGCCGGGCACTACCGGGTAGTCCTTGCTTGTGTCGTAACTACCAGATAGTGCCTGGCACGCGCTGGGGGTGGAAGTTTCGAAAATAGGGTATGACTATAAGAAATCAATGGCCTATAGGATCATTTTTGTGAGGCGCATCAACGAATAAGGAAATGGATGCAAATGGTGGTCAAGATGCCAATGAAATGACATGAAAGAATCCGTGCACAACGGAGTGAATGAACGCATGAATTGATGAATCAATGAATCGGGAATCAAGAAATCAATGAATCCAGGAAGCAAGGAAGCAATGACTCAATGAATCAACCAACCAGTGAACCAATGAATCGAAAATCAATGAACCAATGAACCTGTGAGTCAATGAATCAATGGACTAGTGAACCAATGATTTAATGAATCAATGAATGGATCAGTCAGTGAATCAATGAATCATTGATCAACGAATCAAGGAATCAATGATTCAGTGGGTCAGTGAAACAATGCATCAGTGAATCAGTGCATGAATGAGTTAGTGGGTCGATGAATCAATGAATCAGCGAATCAGTGAATGAATGAAGTAGTGAGTAGATGAACCATTAAATCATTGCAATCAGCAATGATTCAGCGATTCAATGAAACAATGGACTGATGAATCAGTGAAACGATGATTCAGTGAATCGGTGATGCAGTGAATCAATGAATCATTGCACAAGTAAACCAGCGATGAATCAATGAATCAATGGCTGAGTGCATGAGTGAGTGGATGAATCAATAGGTCCATGAATCCATGAATCAATGAGCCGATGAACCAATGAATGAAGGAATGGGTGGATGGGCGGGTGACTTTTCTTTGTTGAGCTACTTCTTCACTGAGCGACCTCTTCGCTGAGGCACCTCTTCTGTCAGCTACTTCTTCTCAGAGTAGCCACTTATCTGGACTACTTCTGCTCCGAGCTGCCTCCCAACCTTTGGCGCAGCTGCAATCCCGCTTGCCAGGAGCGTCGCAGCATCACCCATGCCTTGCTGCGCGCAGCCGTGCCAATGTCACAGCCGGTTGCAAACCCCTCGCGCAAATCCGGGGCTGTTCGAAACATGATGGTTATTGGGGATCTTTATTTGAAATCCAACTCTTGAGTCTGGTGCGCATTTTGCGCATATGATCTGCCAAAAGTGACACGGGCTTGCAACGAAGCAATTTTTGACCAAACCCATCTCTCGCTGCAATCTCACGTTTTTTTTGTCGACATCGAGCCCCGCACCCGCGGAAACAGAGATCGTACTTCGGCGACCCCAGGAGCCACTTTACCCGACAGATTGCATGGTTTCGCGCCCTAGACTGTTTTCACGCGTGAATTCACGTGTTCCGGAAGTAGTCCATCATCAAAGCTCAGCGCTAACATCCATAGTTTTACATTATTATCATCTATTATCTTCATGATCGTTAGTGTTGATAGAAAAGAGGATCATCGTTGGTATCACTTGTTCATCATTGATTATTGTAAATACCTACTAGAGCTATATTATAGAAAATATGTATTTTTATTCAATTAAGTTATATTTAATCATATTCCAACAGATAAATAAGCAAAAAATCAATATAAACAATAAATAGAAATATACAAATATATATATATATAAGCAAAAAAGTATATGTAAGTACAAATAAAAATATAGTGTAAATATTATTTTACAGATAAATTTCAATATAAAATTCAATTAAATATACATTTACATATAATTTTGAATTTACATATAATATAGACAAATAAATTCAAGTAAATAAGTAAACACATCAATAATCAAAAAAATGAATAAACAAATAAATGAATAGATAGATAAAATAAATAAACAAAATAATAAATAAATATAAACCCATATATATAATAATAAAATAATAATAATAATAGTAACAATAGTAGTAAAAATAATAGTAATAATAATGTTAATAATAACAATCATCATCATCGTCATCATCATCATCATCATCGTCATCATCATCATCATCATTGTTGTATCACCAGTTGCCAGGATTTTCCCGGCTACCAGTAGAAGGTGGCCCTTTGGTGGAAACACCACCGCGAGGTCGTCAACTACACAGCTGTCTTGACTGCTTATGGCCGTCGGGGCGACTTCCACAAGGCCACTGAGCTCTTAGAGGAGATGCGGCAGGTGCAGCGGATGCAGGGGGAATGGTGGTGAAGATCAACATTTAATGTTTTTTTGAATGGATTTCTGTGGGTTCTAATGAAATTTTAATGAAATTTAATGGGAGGATTTCATGACTGGATTTTGATAGATTCGATCTTTGATGGGCATGAAAATCAGGATTGGGGGACTTTGCACAAGAACGATTATGGATTATCATTGACGCCATGAGACTCAGTGCATCTACATACCACATTGGAGGTGTGACGGGTGGATCAAGTGTGCCCATGAACTAGGGTATGGACCAACAGATGGACCACCAATGGGAACCGTACAGGGCAAAACTAGTGAAATTGGGAAGGATGGACCCTGCTGAGATAGCAGAAGTGGAGTGTGACCATAAACTATAGATCCATATAGATCCCCCAAAAGGGGCAGGGTAATCTCCTGGGCCAACGTATGTTTTTTATTTTACAGAGAATGGAACGATGTTCTGAACCACCCCCCGGTCAGATGGTCAAATCGTTTGAAAAAATAGGGCACCCCAAAATCCAAGGTTTCATGATATTCTTCCGAAAAACTCGCCATATCTCGTCATGAATTTGGGGAATAAATCCTTTTTGGATCCAGATCCAGGCTGAAGTGGTGCCAAACATCATCTCTTGGAATGCTTTGCTGGATAGCTTCGTGAAGGGGGACGGCAATGCAACGCGCTGCCTGAACGTGCCCTGGCTGCCTGGGATTGGGACGGTGGGTTGCAGCAATGCGTGCGGCAAGAGTTCTTGTTTGTTGCTCAAAGTCTGTGTTTGTGTGGGTCAAGTTCCCCCATTTATTTGTGGTCCAACATTTTCTGTGGCCTGGTTCTTGTTTTTTGGTTCAACCCCCATTTTTTGTTATTCAACTCCCATTTTTTGTGGCTCAACTGCCCATGTTTGTTGTCAAACTACCGCGTGGTCTTAGGAGATGGTCCAAACGAAGATGGAGCCGCCACTTGGAGTTGGGACTTCGATGGGGGGGCTGGTTAGGGCCCAGTAGTAAAATAGTGAGAAGTTGTTGGTAAATGATTGCTGATAGGTGTTTTCCTGAGCACTTGATTAGTAAGGGCTCCGTTTTGGAAAACTGGATCGGGTGAGGCCAGGAAAATGCCGACTTGGTCGTTGAACCATATCATGATATCTATAAGAATGTAAACTCCGAATGACCAAACTATTGAGCCCGTTATCACTGTTTGGTTATAATCCCCACCATTATATATATATATATATATCTATATAACTCACCCATTGTCTATTATTAATCCGGGTTTGACATTGGTTTGACATTAGTGATAATGCTGGTTGCACGAGGAATGTCGTGTCCTTCACCAGCATGATCGACTACCACAGCCGACGGGCTGCTCGCTGTGCGGATCGATGGGACCGAAGTTACTGAAGCGATGGAAACCTGGGGATGTAGGGGAAGTATAGGGGAAATATAGGGGAAATATGGGGAAAATCACCATTGTTCACCAGTTCAAAAACCTGGTTGGTTCAGGTTTTGTTTTTCTGCTGCTTGAAACTCCCGACTTGTTTTTTCTTTTTTTTTTCCCTGGGCCAAAGAAAGTAACATTCCGTTTTTTTTTCATGGAAAGACAATCCCGATTTTTTTCTGGTCAAAACTGCTCGATATGATATTTTCTGGTCAACATTAAATTCTGATTTCGCTGTTCTTTTTCTCTGGGAAAACAACATAAAATTCCTGGTTCTCATTTTTTTTGCTCGAACATGTAGGCCAAAAGCCACCAATCTCCAGATGCCCAGGCAGACCCAGAGGCCGCCGAGCTCTGGTTGCTGCGGATGCGCTCCTTGCACCTGCGACCGTCGGCTGTGACCTTCACAGCAGTGCTGAAAGGCCTGGCTGGGCAAGTCTTCGCTTGTCAACTAGAAAAACTAAACTTAGAGTTTTGATTTGGATCAGTCTGTAAATAAAGATGACCTTAGCACATCTTAGTACAAAAAGATCGTTGTTTTTGCTCAAGCAACGTTCTATTTGCTAGGTCCTTTCGGATCCTCCGATTTCATACAGCAGGCTGCTTGCCATCACATCGGCACACTGCAAGGGCCCAAAGAGGACCTCCAACTTCGGTATGCAGGCCTCATTCGATGCTGGATGTCTTCTCAGCTTGGGCGCTTTGATGCGATTAGCAGCAGCGGCTCTGAATTATGAGATCTATTGCATCCTTGACGGCTCACCCTCAAATGTACCGAGCATCACAGAACTGTCGGACCACACCGGGCACTACGGAACTTATCGGTTTTCAATCAGTCTCGCTTCTGTGATATTCAGTGATCTATGCTGCTACCTCGTGCTTTCACATGCGACGAGCCACGGACCATTCGCCTCCCATTTTCAAGGGCTATTGGTGGCCAGCTGTTTTTTGGATGTGCTACAGGCACTGACGACAAGTTTCAGATACCACTACCTTCCCATCCAGCTCGCAGGCTTTTTGATGTGCCTGACATTGCTCGGAACTCTGCAGCTGCTGTGGCCAATCAGCTCATGCAAGGGGGCCCTTCGAGTTGCGGCCGTGCTCTTCACCATACTCTGTGTGGACTTGTTGGCAGTGGCTATCTTGCACAATCACTGGGCGGCTCCAAGGTCTTTGCCTTCTTGGACTTCTCTAGAGTATTTGGGCCTGGCATTGTATACGGCAGTGTTGGTTGTGATTAGCTACGCGCTGCCCCCAGCTTTGGTGAAATTTGACTGCCCCCCGCACCTTGTTCCGCTGGAATGTGGCAAGTCCTTGCTGCCGCAGCACCAGAAGCGCAAAATCCACAAGTGACAAAAGAGGCTTTCTGTCACTGGCTGAGCCACCTCTGAAAAAAAGATCGTTGTTTTTTTGAATTTCAAGACCATCAAATTTGAATTTGGATTTCAGCAACAAAGATGAGGTTTGAAGCAGCAGAGGTAGGGAGTGAACAAGAAACAACAGTAGAATGAAGGAAGAGAGCAAGCAAATTCAGCGCCATCAAACAGAAGGATTGAAAGAACTCGGGGATTCAAGATTTTTGGATTACACTTTTTAGGGCCGTCCAATTTCATGGATTCCGTTTGCGAACATGGATCCAAGATCACGCCGAAGGGTACAGGAGAACTCGGTATCGGTGATTTCACCAAGTGACCGAAAATTCAGAACATATGTTTTTGAAAGTTTACCAGGGCGAAACGACCCATAGTGTCAACCCCGGATTAGTGTACCCTAGTCGTTTTTTAGAGGGTACCCATAAAAATCAAAAACACAGTAGAAGTGCTGCTCCTGGATAGGATTGATGCTACGTAAGTTAACATTTTCCACGTCCTCCTCCGCGGCAGGCTATGCCAAAACTGGGCAAGTTGATGAGGCTGCGAAAGTCTTGCGGAGGACATGGGGCGACCTGGTCCCGTCCAACAGAGGTGGTGATGTCCAAAACCTTTATATAGGTTTGTCTGAAAATGGGGTATATTCCCAATGAAATAGCCATTTAATAGGGATAATGATCATTAACCATTGGGGTTTAGGGGTACACTATTTTCAGACACACCCATATATATGATATACATAATCAGGATTCCTCTGACAAGAATGGTGAATTCGGCCGACAACAACCGCTAGCAATACATGACAAGAGAAGTTGTTCCGAGTTCGAATCACAAAAGATGGCGTAAGAGGTCTTGCAAGCAATCCAATATGAATTACGTCAGCAGAATTGGCAGCCATTTCGACAAGCATTGTTGCGGGGGCTGGAGGACGAGGGGTGGATGCTTTCCTTTTCCGGACTTTTTCCAGATAAAGCCATGCAGATCTCTTCGAGCCAATAGCCCAGACCTAGTTGTCCACTTCCGCACCCTTGAACCCAAGGGCTCATCCACTTCAAAAGATGCTTCTTGCCACTTCTATTTACCTGAAAGTAATGGGACCCCCGAAAATTTCATGATTTCGCATTACTTTCTTGAAGTGGCTCCAAATTGTGGATAATTCCACTATTCGCAGGCCCAAATATCATATGAATTGTTGGTTCCACATCTCATCATAAAAAATATTCCCATATGGAGGTTTCCGAAAATGGGGGTACCCTCAAATCATCCAAAATTCGACCATTTTAGTATTGAACCCCCCCATATTTCGCTGAATTGCCAAGGCCTCCACCACCAGGTGACACCGTCCGCAGGATGGCCCTCAGTCAGCTCCCACTGGATGTAGTGGCCTGGACCGGGCTGCTGTCCGCCTGTGCTGCGGCCAAGCGCTGGGACGTGGCCTTGCAGCTGGGCAGCGGTGGGTCCTGGGTCCTTGGATTTCACGAAAATGGGAGAGTTAAGCCACCCAAAATGGCAACATGGGGACTTGGACCCAGCAAAAATGGGCCCATCTTCGATGACTTGACGAACATGAGTATAAGTTGAGCAAAGTGTTGAATTGCCAGAGGGTAAACATGGGGTACCAATTTATCACTTTTAAAGTAGGATGTTACTTCTCGATCTTTAATGAAACGTATGCTTTTATTGTGGCTAATTACTAATGCTTAAAGGGATTATGGTGAATCACTCCTATGGTCCATATTTTTATAGCTAATTATCAACGCTTAAAAGGGACAATGGTGAATCACTAGTATGGTCCTTATGTTTTGGGAGTGGAATTTACTTCTCTATCTTTTTTTTTTGGGTTGCTGTAACCACAATTTCACCAATTGAAACCCAGCCAAACCCAGGTGTGCCCTGCGCTGGATGCGGCAGCTACAAGTTTCGCCCAACCAGGCGTTGTCAGGGTTTGATCGCTCTCCGTTTGTGAATGGATTGGTAAGGGAAAATTTGCAGGACACCTTCATATTTCATGGGGAAAAACATGATTTCCTGTAGATTTTCCCACCAATCCATTGAGTTTGTCTTCGATAGAAGGTGCTCTGCGTTTGTATCGCCTTGGAAAAACAATGTTTGGTTTGTTGTTTTGAACACACACACACACACACTGATACTGAACTGGGTTTTCTGAAAATTGGAGGATAACCCCGGAAATAGTTTATAAACTCCCAGGATGGTTTAAGGGAAAATCTGCAGGAAGTCCCGAACTAATTGCGGGGGAAGGGGGGCAGAAACCATGGTTTCCTGCCAGTTTCCCCTTAAGTTGATCCATTGATAAACAGTCAACAGTGGAGTTTTTCTCAACATCTGGGAAATCAGTCCATTGTAGCCACCAGCCCCGCTGGTGAAGGGCATCAGCTCCTTCAGAACTCCCAGAAATCTACGGAAAAAGAACAGCAGTTTGTTTTTTTCACTCAAACAGAATACCAGATTGCATCAATGTATCCCCATCCCCGCATCATATCGCCTTCCACATTCTTCCCATGCGGCAGATCACACATCAAGCACTGAAACGTATGGGCCTCAGATGAGGAGCGCAGATGAAACCCGGTAACCATCTTGGGGAAAGAAATTGGGGTGGATTGTAATGTTAACCATACATGGTTTGAACTATAGATATCTAGATATACAAATTATATAAATAGCTAGAACTATTCCTAGTTGATATATTCATGATGATGATGATGATGATGATGATGATGATGATGATGATGATGATGATGATGTATGAATTGTACACACTCAGACACGTGTAGCCAACTATTGATATCTATATTGTGTAGGTACATTTACGAGTACATTGGGCATGTCCACATGTTGCGAGATCTTGAAGATCTATACAGCAGGAAAGTCTTGATATTTTTGACTGGGATAGGCCTAGGTTTCCAAGTTGCAGAACCTGTTGGTGAATGGATGGAGCGGTGATGTGAGCTATGGATATCCATATTCCCTATTCTATACCCTCTGGTAAACATACAAAAAGCTATTGAACATGGCCATTTATAGTGGATTTACCCAATATATAAATATGGTGATTTTCCATAGTTATGGTGATGTTTACCAGAAGGTACATGGGCAGCCAGTTGGAGCTAGGAATTTTTCGTTTCCCAACTGCGAGCAGGACAGTGATCGATGGCATTTTTGTGGACCTGTGTGGTCCTGCTGAAATGTCGTGAAAATAGCAGCCTCAGCAGCACAGAAAAAGCGTTTGATTATCTGGGTGGTCAAGTCATTGGGTACCTCAGATTTTCCCCTCCAGTAAACTGACATAGCTATGGTATGGCCCTATGGTAGGCCCATTTAGTTCGATGATTCCAGTTTACCACAGGGTAGATCGTTTCTAAACAGAATGACCACTGCATTCAGTGTGCCCAAGGGCCTCATGTTTGGGGTATGTACAGTAATATCCATGTTGAACACCTTGGCAGATTGAGCACAAGTGAAGTGACGTGTAACCGATGTGAGCTGGTTTATACAATCTTTGCATCCTGGTCCTCTCGATTCGTGGATTTTGTGTTTTTTCAAAAACCAGTGGATCAATGATGGGTCTGATGGGTCATGATCCCAAACCGACCCCTCCATATTTTTCTCTACTACTGTTCGTTGAATCCCCATTGCTGTTGAATGAGCTGCTTGGACTATACATTCTATACAGCATGACCGATGGCTAGACAGCTTGGCCCGAGCAAGCTACTTTTTCAGCACACCTGAGATGCCAAGACACATTGTCAGTGTCACTGTGCTCTGACTCAGTTGCGGCACCACAGCTTCTTCTGGTAGAAACCTCTCCGCATCTGATCTTCCACCTGTAAAAAGGACGCTTTCCTGAGACCTCAGAAATCAGCTGTAAGAAGGCAGGATGATAAAATCAGCGCTCTTGAACCTTGCTGCGACCTGTACAAAATGGGGGCCGCCATGGGAAGCCTCTTCTCCGAGTGCAAAAGGCGGCCTTGGAGCCACAATGGGCCTTGGGGCTTGATCCGAATGGGGGACTTCCAAGAAATGGCCATGTGACCATGGGGAATATCGTTTTTCATTTTCTAAAACAGCAATTTAACAATCAACAATAGGTCTTTTCCACATATCAAGTAGGTCTTTCATCACCTAGAAATAGATGTATGATATGGGTTTTGTCAAAAATGGGAACACAACGGGGAAAGTTATACCAAACCATGTGGTTTTGAGCCTATTCTCAGACAACCCCAACAGAAGTGGCACGCCCCGCCAGATGGGGCTGCTCAACTGGCTCCGAGTCTTATCATATTATACACACAGTCACATCATATATCTATACAATGCATATGTGCCATGGTCAAAAGTTGGATTTTTTATTTCCCACTTCCCTTTGGGTTAAATCTTGCGACACTACAATTATGTGCATGATGCATGTTCTTATCGTATACCAACTCTTGGGGCGCTCCGATTGTTGGCCCCGGTCTTCTCTTGACCTTCACGATATTCAGTCACCATAGTTTCAAATGCACTGACCTCACCACCAGAGTCCGGGGCTGTGTCATTATGGACCTCTGAGTTCATGCGAGAGTCGAGTCAAAAGTTGGATTGCATGCCCGTATCGAGGGATGGTCATCAATCCATGTATTGGTATTTATTTTTGCATTTTCTGTGTACATATGTATATATATACATATATGTATATATATATATACATATGTACATCTTCCCATGACATGATATTTGGATTCCCATTATGCGATGGATGATCATGTCACATACAATTTTTTAACCATGGCACACATAGGTTTTTCTGGACATGGGGGATATATACCCCAAAATGGCTGCTTTGATGGAAAAAATGATGGTCATTGGAATTTTGGGTACCCTACTTTCAGAACCAAAGACAATAGATGAAAATTTTATCTCTGGTAATGACTAACATAGCTATTGAAAATGACCATTTATAGTGGATTTTCCCATTGAAAATGGTGATTTTCTATAGTTATGTTAGTTTACCAGAGGGTACAGTACATAAAAATTTAGTAAACAGTAAACACACTCTTTGTTCATCAGTGAGTTTCCAACTATGAACATGAGGCCACTCCCTTTGGCCTTCAGGTGTTCAGCGCTGGTGGACCAATGTGACCTTTGTCCAGCCACAGTGTCGGCAGCGAAGCAGCTGAACAGTGGCCCAATAATCCTTGTTGATTTGTTAATTAATGGGGATTTACTCGTACCTTGGGTTCAATGTTAACCGATGGGATTTAACTGATTTAACCATATTTAACCAACACATTTATCCAATTACTGCTGGTTTAACCATCAAAAATGGGGCTCGAACCACAAATTGGGTGGGTGAACCATCTCAACTGATGGAATGAACACTGGTCGCGTAATCCAGGAATCCAAACTCAAACCCAACAGTGTTCTCTAGACAGACCAAGCTCCAAAAGCCAGTTATGGGGTTTCCCAAAAGTCAATTTTATTACGTGATTGTTTGTCTGAAAGTAGGCTACCCCCAAACTTGATGCTTGATCAGTATTGTCTATTACAGTATATATATATATATATATTTTTTCTATTTGAACAGGTTCAAAAATATGGGTTAGACCCAACCATTGGACCTTTTCCATGTTGGATTTAGAGAGATTTCCAGCACCAGCTGCAGGCGCCAGACAGATGACGACCCACTCCTTAGGCGAAAGACCTCAGTGGGGGTGGGATTGGTGGAGGTTGTCCAATACTGTGGAGCTTGGCCCACTTTTCTATGGTGATGCTAATGGGAATAGACCCTTGGATATGGATCTTCTGCTGCTTGAGGATGATCAGGATGATCCCCTACCGCCCCATATTTTTCAGGGGGTTACCACCAAGGAGTTGTGGCGTTCTTAGCAAAGGTGGAGATGGGTCCATACCGGACGACCGTCGGTACCTGGGGGAACGTAACCACAGGGTGTTCCCTGTAAAGATCATTTTGTCCAAAAGGGTTTGAGAATTTGGGTGATTTCAACGTTTTATTTCCGACTGGAAAGAGAATACATCCCTTTATATATTTCCTGGCTCAAGAACCAAGCGATGAATGAATGCTTCACATCTTTGGGCCGCCAACCACTGATTCACTTTGGTGATGAGGGTAGATCGGACGCTCATCCGCATGTTTCATGAGTGGTCACTTTTGATCTGGTAAAATATGGGTATGCCTGTGAAAAAAATGGTAAAATGGGGGTTTCAGGGCGTGTATGTTGGTATGTTGCTGGTTATGATTTTGTGTTGGGGTTCAATGTTTCATCCTTGGTTTTGATGATTTTTCAGGTGGGGTTTTGGGGGTCATTTTGATGCTAAAGTGATGTGTCAATGTTTGGTTCAGATGAGGGTAGGATTTGTTTAGGCTGTTGGGGTTTGTGTTTTGGTTCAGATGAGGGAGATACTGTGGATAGTGTACTTGTGGTTGTCGTTTTTTATTGTCAAGGTATGTCTTGTCTTTTTTTGGGTATGATTTTATTGTGTTTCCTTATCATCAGTTTCAAGACAGAACATTCAACTTGATATCTTTCAAAAGGTTCCATGTCTTTCAACATCTTTCATTTTTTATTCTCTCATTCTCGTCTTTTTTGGTGGCGTTTTTTTCTTGGTTGTGTTTTGATTTGAACGTCTTTCGCTTCGCCTCATTTTTTGCGGACTTCTTCATGGACTTTCTGGATTTCGTCGGGGGCGCCCAGATGAGATGTGCGCGCTGTTTCGTTTGCATGGAAGCATCACTTTTGAGGACATACTGCGTTTCTTGAGGCACTATGTAAACTCTATGTACACATTGTGGCATTACACTACACCCAGAGATGTTGATTGCTTTCTCCCGCAGCAGACAGGCTCACAAATGCTCACAAGATAAGATGAGTTCTACTTGCGGCATGTGTTGCACTATGAACAAGTCAACGCATCAAGAAATCGTAAAGTGCTTGAGCTCCAGCACAGTCCCAGTTCTGGAGATTTCCCCATGGGTATGTCGCGTTGCCTCATTGCCCGATGTTGTGGTTTTCGGCTTCTCATGTCAGGCCGACGAAACCACCGTTGCTTCTCAAACAACGCTCCAGAGAAGGAGCCGACCACGAAACAGCAGATTGGAAAGTGGTTGGTTGGTGGTGGTGGCTCGTTGGCCATCGTGACCTTTGGATGGGATATGTGGCGGCATCGTCAAGAACAAGAGCGAGTGAAGAATATCATTGTGAATGCCTCTTTCAAAGCACGCGAGCCACGTGTCAAGATTGAACGGAAGATAATCAAGGCGTCCAAGCACCACCTTTTTTTTTGTTGTGTTTGTCCCTGCGTTTCTTGACAGAAGGGATTTGTTCTTGAGATAGGTGTTATTTCATGTCATACTGACATTTTGAATTTGATGCACTATGCTCACTATGCACTGTGGCAGGACGAAATGCACCAGTTGTTGGACTTGGACGACCCCCGCCCAATCCTCATCTGGGGGAACCATGAAGTTGGCAAGAGCACCATCCTTTGGGAAGTGTTGCAGGAGAAACAGTGGAACAATGGAGTGCTCCACATCAAGCTCATGCAGAACAACGACTTGGCCAAGGACGCATTGAGGAGCAGGTTGGCAGTGCTCCATGAAGAGGAGGTGGTGCGTGGTTTGAGAGGTGCCAAGACAAGAATGGGACGAAAACCCATCATCATCCTTGAAGTTCCTCGTGGTGTCTTCGAGCCATCTGTGATGAGCAGCGTCTCCGCCTTTGCGAAGTCATGGGGCTTTGATGACGAGGTTGCCAAAGTGCTGGTGATGGTCAGTTCTGCAGTGTCAGCCATGGCTTTTGACGCAGACGGTCGTGAGCGCCGATTCTTCGTTCCACCACTGACGAATGAAGAGCTCTCGCAGAAGGAGGCCATAATGAAGAGCTTCATTTCATGTGGTAATTGTTCAGTCACCTTCAATCACTTTAGTGCTTTTTGTTGGTGCTACTTCTGGCATGGGTTGGGATGTTTGCAGATGGACGTCTCCTTGTCAGGTTGAGGAATTCCTACATCATCATGGCGGTGAAGAGGCCTCCAAGCACAAGAGCGATATGATTCAACTCACAGGTGGCAACATCGGTAAAATGGAGGACAAGGGTCATGAAACCATGGGACAACAACCCGAAACATCAACGAACGTTGAAACCTTGAAACTTGCCCACATCTCCTGCAGGACGTGGCGCGAAATGCCAAAGAGACATCATGGGAAGAAGCAAAGTCCAAACGGC